AATGCCCCGGTACAGCCGATGAAGAAAAGCCTGCAAAAGAAATGTTTCGAAAAACCTCGTTCGAAAAAAATTGGTAACTGGGCTAATTGTAGCGAACCAAATTCTTTTGCTTTGATTTGAGATTGGAAAATTTTAACAGGATGTATCACTTGTATCCTTTTTACGCACAATACATTTTCAGCATCCATTTTCCGTTTTTTAAAGGGATCGTGCCATCAGTTACCAGGGGATAAGCTGCCGTCGAACCCGCCGCCTTTCCTCCAGAAATACCCGCGAGCCACGCATTTTATCGCATTCTGAGTGATGGGATCTAAAAGGAATGTAAATATGCGACAGAGAGAGAGAGAGAGAGAGAGAGAGAGAGAGAGAGAGAGAGGGAGAGAGAGAGGGAGAGAGGGAGAGAGAGAAAGAGGAGAGAACACAGAGTGAGGGAGAGAGCAGGCTAGTAGATATTATTGAGAAGGAGAAGAAGGCAGGCTAGCAGAGATTGTTGAGGAAGAGGAGAGGGCAGGCTAGCAGAGATTGTTGAGGAAGAGGAGAGGGCAGGCTAGCATAGATTGTTGAGGAAGAGGAGAGGACAGGCTAGCAGCGGTTGTTGAGGAAAGCCAAAAGCAAATTCAAAAATTTGAAAAGACAAGGGTTTCAAACCACTTTAAGAATAGAAAAAGCAAATTGTGAATAGTAAAATTGGCTCATGATGATAATATGAACTAAAAATAAGAACAGAAATGCGTTAAAAGATCCGATTGTCGAAGCAATAAATGACCATTTTCACGAAAGAAAAATGTCTCAACCTATTTTACAAACCAAAAAATTTAAAATTCGCGAAAAACCTGCAGATCAGGTTCGGAATTGAGAATCGGAAGTGGAGAGGGCATGGCTAGGGGGTGGGTGAAAATAAATATTCGGTTAGACTCCTTGGGCCGGTCGCGTGCCGTGCAATTTAGATGACCATCCCCCGAAAACTCGATGGATTCGCGTGTCTCTTCTGCCCCCGTCTAATGTGGGGGGCACGCACAAAATTTGGGTGTGAAGGGTTTTTCCGGGAAAAATGTGTGATGGGGGAATCCCGGAAATCCCCCCCGCCCGGCCGGCTGCTGAGTTATGGGAAGTTCCTGATTTTGGCGGTTGAGGGGATTTGGATTAAAGGGACGGGTTAGCGAAGCTCTGGTTATGGATTACTTATGGATTTTGGCTGGGACCGCGACACGCAATGCACACGCCTCGCTTACGTTGGCGAAGCGTATCCTTGGGAGTTCCGTGTCGTTCGTCATTCAGGCAAAATCCTACACCATACTCCATATATCCCTAAAACAGTGTTTTCATAGCGCTAGCATCCTGGTCTCTTTAAAGAAACAGTTAAAATCCAAATATGAACTACAAAGAAAATATTACCCCAATGTCACGTCCCGGCACGCTTTCCACGGCGTGTCGGCGCGCTTGCTCTCTCTCTCTCTCTCTTTCTCTAGCTATCTTTCTCTTTCTCTCTTTCTCTCTCTCTCTCCCTCCCTCCCTCTCTCTCTGTTTCAAAGAGTAGTAAAAATCGAACACCTTTGACGAAAATTCTTGTTTCAAACATTAGGGTATCTCCTTCGTAACGCGATACTGATAATTGCTCATCGAGAAGCGAGACGCCCCATTTACAAACTCCCTGAAAAACATTTCTCCGATAAAATCATTATTTTCCAAAAGCGCCAAAACTGATGTATCACCTATCCGGGGGACATGAAAAGCCGAGTGAAAAAGTTTATACTTTTGTGGGCACCTGGATTGCATGGCCGTTAGGCTCACAAGGCAAGTTGGCGGACGGATCATACACGGTGGAAAGTACCGTAGAAACGCCAGGCAAATGTATATAATTTTTGAAACGCACCTTTCTAAAGAGTTCAGTTTTCCAAAGCGGAAAATAAATGTTTTAAGGTCTATGGATGGCAATGCCGAATCAGAGCTTTTTTTCCTAGTATTGCACCTAGAATCGCTTTTATGCTCTAGAAGCTACTTCCATTATTGCTTCGCTCCAGCGCCCCCGCCAATTAAGTTTTGTGAAACACAACTTGATAAAAAAACCGCGTGCCCGACGAATTTTTCCTTTATATTGCTGATGCATCCGATTTTAAGTAAGTTGCAAAGGAAAAACGTAAAATCGCATGTAAATTTTTAAAGCTGGGTTTTGAAGGGAAGGTGCGACGAATGTTTCAGGGCTTCGGGTCGCCGGTCAACGCCGCCTAATGAAGCTTTAGTAAGTCAGCGTCAAATCTTGTTGTTGAAAAATATAATATAAAATATCAAATTTAATAAAAGGAGGTTATTGGCAGAAAAGGTGGGCGGAGGTATCGGAAAAGGATGGGCCATCCAAAAAGCGGGTCCCGCCGCGAAATTCGGTCGGCTCACGCACATCCGGTCGGGATGAGGCCGCAGTAAAATGAATCCCTAATACCCCCGGGCCATCTTTCCCATCCGGTAGACGAGACGAGGAAGGAAGAAATAAAAATTTTCTCGATTGGATAACCCGGATAATATAATCTGAAAAAGACTGAAAAAGAAATACATCCGAGCAGTAAATTCAGCATCATTTCGCTAGTTATCGCTAATTAACATTCAGCGAAATTTAATGAACTTTGAAACATTATTGGAAAAATATGTTTATTTATTACACTACGAATTTATTGACTTATTGAACTACGAAACTGACGAGCTCCCCTGAGTTTTTCGCAACATTTATTTGCTTGGAATTACATACAAGGAAAGCACCGAAATAATCTCGCCGGAATCACGAGTTTTCAATCTGGTGCTCCGGCTACCGTAAACTGACTCGCCCTCCGGCTACTGTCTCTCCCATGGTATTAAAACTAGACGTTAGATTTCTATAACCGCTGTCCATTAAGCCCGAGAAATCGGCCTCAAACCAGGTTTGTCTTTAAAACAGACTTTTTTTATCAAAACAAGCAGGCCAAACGAATAGAAGCTTCATTGGCAGACTAATATCGGCCAGGACCCATAACTTTCATGAAACATTATCTTTTACAAATTTATTTGAGAAAATTCGACAAATTGCCAGAAGAGTGTTTATTGGACGACAATCCAGGCAAGCCTACAATTTTTTTGAAACAGCTTAAAACCGTTTTTAGAATCAAAAATTTATTGAATTCGTCTAGGCGGACGCACGAGACGCATATCAGGCTACCGGCTACCGTACCCTCTCTTTCTTACCTCTTCTTTCCTTCTTTTTTTTATTTGAGCTCTTCCGCCGATTTCGAAAACAGTTTCGGAGTCAGCGAAAAATTCTGCACATGATAGGCATGGTCCCGAATGGAATTTTCAGCCCATATAAAAACGCCTTACAGTTAGCTATACAAAAAATGATTCGACGTGAAATTCGCATTGAACTTTAGCAATCGGCGCCAACCCATAACTTTCAACATTTTTTCCAAAAAAAAAAAAACGAGCAAAAATTTAACGAAAGACCTAGTCGATTTCACTAGGTTCCTATATGGTGCCCCTATTACCGTACACCTCCCCACTATCAATACGATAAATACGGCCCATTGACCCAGAGAAACCGGCCGCAACCATCAAATTTCATTTAAACCATGTTTTCAGAACAAATACGAATCAGCGTCCCTCTCATTGAAAGCCAGATAACGGCCAGAACCCATCACTTTCTTGAAACATATTTTTTGCGAAAACGCACGAAAGAAAAGTCTGCGCGAAAAATTCGAGAAAAAGTACAAATTATTATCTAGAAATCGTGACCGGCGCCAACCCACATTTTGTTTTAAAACATTTTGGAATATGTTTGGATAAAATTCCTTTTTTCTTAGCTACAAATAAACGTTTCGATACCATCCGTACGCCATTAAACGCGGGTAATCGGCGACGACCCATAACTTTCTTGCAACATTTCTTCAGAAAAAATTTCGAGTAAAAATCAATGGAAAAATCTAGTCGACATCAGGAGATTCTTATTAGTTGCCTGGCTACCGTACACCCACCTCCCCGTTCATGATAATCCTGTCAATATAAAAATCCGGGGCCGGTATCTGACGACGGATTACTGGCACTCAAGGCGCTTCCGGTTGGGCACACGAAAATCCTTGGAAATTGGGGGTTGGGCGGGTTGTCATCGAATTTTTTGAAAAATGCGAATAGCGATGGAGGCCGGAAAGGTTGGGGGAAGTGTGGGGGCGGAGAATTTCTGAAAACCAGCGCCCAAAACCCGCTTCGCGGGCCTTGGGCGCTGGAATGCGGCCTTTGCATGAAAAATTTGACTTCCCGATAGCCCGGGTCCTTCGGACCCCTTCCCCCACCGACCTCACGCGCCGCGTGCTACTCGCAAGAATGAGGACATTTGTATTTTTCCGCATTATGCAAATTAGCCCTCAGGGACCCCCAAAAATGAATAAAACCGGCTTTAACTTTGTAAACTTGTATTTTATGGCGATTCTGAGAACGCCATCGGAAACAGAAGGGTCGATTCCCCCGGGTGACGGAAAATTAGGGCATTTTATCCAGGGGGTGACCCTTAAATCGGGCCTCGAAAGTGACATCAGGAGATATGACTTTTAGGAGATATCGAATTAGGAGATATGTATTTAGGACATATGACCGGAAATCAGACTGGGCACGCGTCAATATCGATAGGAAATTCGTAGCAATCTGTTTATGAAGAAATCGTGTTTCATTTTTACCTATATAGGAAATTCCAGGATAAAAAACACGAAAAGAAAATCAAAAAATATGTTTTGTTTCGGTTTAAAAAGGCGCAAATTTTTATCATGCCTATTTTGTCGAACACTCTAATTCCAACAACATAGAGAAAACAATTTATTCATCACACCGTCGTCACTTCACCACCAAATTAAACACAAAAGTCAGTGCCTAGGGAATTTTAAGATCCGATTTTTATCGATGGTTGTAGTAGGCGCACGACACGCCGCATCGTGTCGCCGAAGTTTTTTAAGGTGTAGAGAGCAGCATCGCCTCGGGTCCGCCCTCGATCAGCCGTGGTGCCCCTGGCTTTGGCGCTGAAATTGGAATGTAGACCCGCATAAAAAAATTCAATGAAACCAGAAAAGTGCAAAAATACAGAAATTAAGGTTGAAAGCTGTCTTTAATTCGGATCCTTAATCTTAAAAATTCTAATGAAACATTTTTTCTAGTGTGAATAGAGAAAGTGTTTCGAAACTGTTTTTACTATTTCTACACGTAAAAGCCGTTACTAATTTTATGAAAAAAATACGAAACTACAGATTTTTCACCCAAAATTCGAATTTTTAAAATTTGCAAAAGCATAGATAAAATTTGCATTTTAAACATAGTGAAATGTACCAAAAATACTATTAAAATAGCTACTGTTATGTTACCAGGTCTTTCTGGAATTATAGGAAAATATCCCCCACTTTGAATGTAATAAATAAATAAATACACTTTGAATGATTGAAGCCCGATCTAACTATCCTACTATATATAAAAAAAAGTGTCTGTGTGTGTGTGTGCCACTTTGCATCCACTTCCGTATCGTTGTTCCAGTCGTATCTCTATAGGGGAAAAAGTTAGGGGTGGGTACGATACGTCATTATGTGCGTAATGGTCCAGGGATGACTGCCCACATATAAGATTTTTAAAAATCAGCCATTTTCGATATTAAATTTAATTTTTTGCAAAACCCTCTTCGCTAGGAAAAATTAGCATTGAAGGGAAGTCGCCTATATAAAGGGTCAAAAGCGAATCCTTTTCATTTTTTGGTCATCTGAATTCAGGGCAATTATGCAAAGCGTAGAACAAACAGCATGCGGTCCAAGACGGGGCCAGGGTTGAAAAGTCGCGAAGCGGCTTTTCAGCCCTGGTCTGGCATAAAAAAAATGTTTTAAACAATTTAAATTCGCAAAAATTTCGGTTATTAATGACTTTTTCTGACGTGGTAAATTTTTTTTACAATTATTTTTGTTGTATTTTGATATTTTAGGTATTTTATGTATCTTTAATGCATTTTATACACTTTTTGTGTGCAATTTTCGAGGGCCAGGAAAACCAGAAAACTTTATTAACCCTGAAAATCACCACGCCATTTAAGAGATCGCAACATCACAGAGGAAACGCTGATTGAATTCTCATTGTTTTTAACACTCAAAAAGGGACCTTAAAATTGCATAAAATAATAAATAAGCAATAACATTAAGGGAGGCTATTTGGGGGAGGGCGTCGCCGGGACGGCAGATTGCTGCCGAAGCGCCGCAGCCGCGCGTATACCTTTAAAGCTCCTTTAAAGGGACTGCGACAGTATTCAGCGGCTTTTTTAAAATAAGTATTTCTAGCTATTTTTTATTACTTTTAACCCTAAAACTTTACACACTTTAAAGTTGTGCTAAAAACACAAAAAAAATTGAAATTTTTGACGGAAATTTCGAATTTAAATTGTTGACGGTTTTTAGAATTTTTAGTCTGTTAAATTTAGCGTTTAGTGCTTTAGATTTTAATTTTCAAAATAATTTTGCTCCGGGAAAAACGCGTGTTTCATTCAGAAGCCATTGGTTGAAAGGCTCTTATTGGCGGATTTTATCCATTAACATTATTTTTTAATCTGAAAAGTGTAACGCTGCCAATAAAGCAGGCATTCTTGTGTTGTTTTTTGAAACGGCTAGTTTATGTCGAATTTTTTGGCTATGGTATCGAACTATTCAATCTGCCAATCAATAAGTACAACTTTTTAAAGAAACATTAATTTTTGCCTTGGCGATCCCTTGAAAAGTAGCCTGGCTAGCCATATATGGGTCATTTAAGGTATCACTTATCGATTCGATACCTTTGAGGCGGCTTTCGAGGGCCGAGGGTTGGCGGGCGGAAGCGGGGGAACGAACACTTGATATCCGGAATCGTCGCTGTACGTCTGGTCGAGCTCACGGCGGAACACGTTCTCACCTAATAAGTGAAAGTAACTGAAAAATTAAGTGTTTCAGCCGATTTAGTGTACAAAATGTATCTAAATGCTCGAAAAACAAATTATCGCAGAATCTTGGGATCGTCAATGTTTCGGAAAATCCCCAAGATTAGGGCAATTTGCCGATTTAATTGTGAAGTAAAAATCGGATTAAAAAAGGATAACTAAAAAGCGGCTTACCCCGCTTGTCCTCGGTGGTGGGGAGGAGAATCTTGATGGAGAGCTTCCCCGACTTGTCCACCTTCAGCGTCGCGCCTTTGTTGTTCTACAAACATTAAAAAATTTAAAGGCTCAAATCTAGAATAAATTACGAAATTTAGCTTATTCGGAATTTATATTCGAGACGCAACATTGAATTTTTGGCCAGGGGGGAACAGATTTTTAATAGCATTTTAATGCTTTTTGGGTTTTTTATTCAAGATGAAACATCATAAATCGAAAAGTTTTTTGCAAAACTGTAAATTTATATGTTTTCCAGTTTCCTAATACTTCTATTCCAGGGAATTCTCTATTTATTGAACACGAAGATCCGCAATAAAACCAGATTTTCATTTAAAGGGAGAGCAACAGTGTGAGTCCCCGCCCACCCACCTTTTCCACAAAATAGCGCGGCGCCGTGAAGATGGTGATCAGCTTGCGGTTGCAGAAGAAGTGGTACCCGTTTTGCATCATCTGTAGCGGGAATCAATAACAGGTACTTAGAAATAGATTATACAAAAACCAATTTGGCTAATGTTTAAATTGAACCACTGCGAACAACACATTGTTGTTTAAAATAACCGAAAAACAAGAGTTTTTAATGAAACACAATTTTCAGAAAATCGAATTTTTTCCAATCGCCACTTCTTTCTTCTATTTCTATTTTCCTTGACTTGACTTTAAAAGTAGGGCAGCTAAATTCGAATAAATAGGTTCCAAACAAGCGAAGAATGAAATAATTTTACGAAGTTTCGCAAACTCGTATTTTTTGTGAAACATTTTTTTCCCAAATATTTTGCTGGACATTGCATTTTAGTTTTCTATTAGTTTTTAGTTTTCCAAATTACCTGATGGGCTCTGACGATGAGCTCGAGGCCGAGCTGCTTGCATATCGCCTCGACGCGGTCCTCGCCAAAGTAGCACGACACGCCGCGCACGTGGTTCGGCACCCAGCTGAGCATTAATGCGGCTTTTCGATAAGCATGGAAAAAGTGCAGAGAGTCCACTAAATTAAATTAAACCCAATTAAAATGCACCGTTTGCGAATTTAGACACAGAAAAACGCAAAAATTACGAATTTTTAATTTTTTCTGCAAATGCAATGTTTCAGATAACCATGCTATTTCGAGACACCACCTTAAATTGTTAGACAAACGAACCATGCAGACAAATAACAAATTTCGTGTCAAAATTTGTCTTCACAAATATCAAATCTGTCCGAAAAATATACGTTTTGTAGATATGATAAAGTATAAAAAGTCCGGCCCAATTATTATGGCTTACGAATCGCTGCGGAAAGTAATAAATCTGCTATACTTGAGGATAAAACGGAATCTTTTTAATTGATTTTTCAAAAATGTAAAAAATTTTCAAAGCGTGTTTGATATCTTACACATATGATACCAAAAAAAAATAAAAAAAGCAGCATTTAAAGCGTGAATATATACCCAGACAGGCCGATCATCGGGTCCGCCCACAGCAGATCAACGGCCAGGGTGGTCGGGTAGCTGGCTGGGTCTTCGAGGGGTCGCTTGATGGCTCGGATATCTTCCAGGGAGTGCAGCTCGGGACCTGCAAATGGTCTCTGCTAGGCTGCCCTCTCCTCTTCCTCAACAATATCTGCTAGCCTGCCCTCTCCTCTTCATCAACAATCTCTGCTAGCCTGCCCTCTCCTCTTCCTCAACAATCTCTGCTAGCCTGCCCTCTCCTCTTCCTCAACAATCTTTGCTAGCCTGCCCTGCTTGAATACCCACTAATGCCTCCATGCATGCACAATATCTTCTTGCCGATCATGGCGGCCAGGGGCAGCATGGCGAAGGCGTTGTTGAACGAGTGCCACAGCGCGTCCGCGTCGTCTTGCTAAAATACGCCAATTTGCGCTATGCCATCCACCGTACCCCATATCGATCGACCAGCTCGTCGTAGAACCCGTACACCTTGTTGATGGCGCGGCACTCGTGGTTGCCCCGAAGCAGACCGTACTGAAACACGAAATCTTAGGCCTAGGTTAGGCTTGGGCTTGGGCTTAGGCTTAGGCTTAGGCTTAGGCTTAGGCTTAGGCTTAGGCATAGGCTTAGGCTTAGGCTTAGGCTTAGGCTTAGGTATAGGCTTAGGCTTAGGCTTAGGCTTAGGCCTGGGCTTAGGCTTAGGCTTAGGCTTAGGCATAGGCTTGGGCTTAGGCTGGTTCGCTCCCCTCAAACTTGACGAACATGTCTAGGGAAGAGTATCTTCAGCGTGAACACCATCATGATGCACTCCAGCGAGTTGGTGCCCCGATCCACGTAGTCGCCCAGGAACAGATACCTAAAACGGGGCCCAACTACCGTAACCCGCTTCGGCTAACTCACCTCCCATTCGTCACTCCGCTCACCGACGCCGACCCGTCCTTGTTCGTCTCGCCGAATGTGTTGAACATCCGGATCAGGTCGTAGTACTGGAATGGCGCAGAAAATCAAAAATTCCAAAAGTAGCAGAGACTGTTGAGGAAGAGGAGAGGGCAGGCTAGCAGAGATTGTTGAGGAAGAGGAGAGGGCAGGCTAGCAGAGATTGTGGCTACGGTTTACTTTACCCCCCCAGCCGAAAGGTTTTGGCTATAACTTTTTTAATTTACACCAGGGTTGAAAAGCCGCTTCGCGACTTTTCAACCCTGGCCTCTCTGCGGGGCCCTTTGATACACGGGCACTGGATATTATAATTTGCATTAATATTACGAATTACGTAATGGAAAGGCGCCACAGGAATTACTTGAGCAACCGACTCGGAACCCCGCAAAGCCCAGAATGAGCCGAATTAATAGCCGTATGCAAATCAGTCTATTTCCATATATTTTTAAATCGCTAAAATAAGGTATAAAACGTCATGTTAGTAAAAATCTGATAAGCGCGCAGTAATCTACGCCCTCGATTACCCCTTACCACTTTAGTTCTGAACCATAAAATCCTCTTCCCTTCGAGTTATGGCTGGAACCCGGGATTTTATGCAAAGTGTCCACACACACACAGAAACTATTTTTTTTATATATAGTAGGATTATTGTAGGCTCAAATTAAAACTCTTAGTATATTTTTCGACGCTCTATCGAATGGCGTTGCGAAAATCCCGACAAAATAAGCGAAAATACCGACAACTTTGAGACCCTTCGGCTGTGAGGGGGGTAAAGTAAACTCTTACCGAGATTGTTGAGGAATAAGGTGATACCTGTCCATGTATATCTCCAACAATGACAATGGGTGGACTCATCGTCAGCAGCGTCTCATCCTTGCCCAACACCTCGACGACGGCCTGCAGCACCGAGTCGATCTCGGCTAGCGTGTAGTTGATCTGAAACGGCAAACCGAGCTTTTTTTGTCCTTGTATTTTTGGGTACTGGACTGTTAAACTTATGGTGTTTTTAACCATATCTGAAATTTTCAAATTTTTATTTTAGTAAGAATTAAAATTGTACGAAAAAATGTGTTTGGATTCAGCTCTCAAAGCAAAGTGAATATCGGGCGATAATGACTCTCAAAATTATTTTTTGCAGAAAAAATGTTTCAAATAAAATAAATCAGGTTTCGATAAAAGTAAGAATATTCAGCGAAAAAAATGTGTGCCAGTCTAACAATAAAATAAATGCAAATCGTGCGCATAATCGGCCGAGGTCAGACTCTAGTTTACCCCCCCCCAGCCGTAACTTTTCAGCCATACGTCCTATTAATGCGCCGAGTATCTCAAAATGTTCCCCGTGGTCGAATTACTATAAAAAAGTTGTTTTCTTGCGGCAAAAATTGCTAGAAATTTTTTTACAAGGTTTTGAAAGTTGAAAAGATTAAGCCGCTGTGCTTCAATGTACCAGGAGCCTAAAACTCAAATATTTTTATTTTCCGCTATTTTTTTCGACTCAAACGTACTGTAGGCTTATTCTCCAGAGCAAGAGCTACATTTTGGTACTATTGACAGCTCTGTACGTCAAAAGATAGCCGAGATACGAAAACTCACTTTGGACCAGCAAAAATTAACTAAAGAAAACCCAGACTTATAATTGTTATAAAAATTTTTCTAGCAATTTTTGCCGCAAGAAAACAACTGTTTTATAGTAATTCGACCACGGCGAACATTTTGAGATACTCGGCGCATTAATAGGACGTATGGCTGAAAAGTTACGGCTGGGGGGGGGGGTAAACTAGAGTTTAGCCAAAAAATGCAATATTTAGTTGTTACTAAATGCGCGGTATGTTAAACGTTCCTTTTAATAAAACGCATTTTATACCGTCAAGCTGGTTAACTTAATGCGTTTAATCCTTGAAAATCGTACCCTCTTGCGGTCGACGCTGTTCTTGGGGGCGATCTGTTTGTGGAGGAGCTTCCAGAATAGTTCCGTCTTGACAATCTTGTCCGAACCCTCGCCACCACGGTTCGACCGATCCGCCATTAAATAATAGAGAGAGGGGGGGTAGACGTCAAGATCGAGGAGGGCAGGGGCGAGTACCAAAAAAAGGACGAGTACGACGGAATACCCGAATTACGCCCGGGAATTTGATTTTTAGTGACAAACATATTTAAAAGTCAAACCTTCCCGGAAAGTTTAATTAGTGTTAATTTTACATTTCATTCAAATGATATATTTCATATTTGTTTAAAAATAATATATTGAGCGATTCTGATGAAAACTGTGGAAGCAAATAATCAATTGAAACATTTTCGCGCTTTATTGGGTATCTCGATGAAACACATTTTCTCTGACGAATAAAGCAGAATTATACAACTTTAAATATTTGTAACGTATAAATATTATACTGTTAATAATCGACAAAAATAAATGCTAGATTATTTATATAATTTATCAAAATTATAAAATTTTTTAAAGTTAAGCGCGATCCTACAGTACGTCTAATCGTTTGGCCCCTAATCTTTGGCGTGTTGAAACTCATGATTACAAGAAAAATCGATAATCTTTATAGCTTTGATGTCACATTCTTTTTATTTCTAAAAATGCTGAAAATCATGATCACAAAAATTGCAAAATGCTATTATAAAACTCTCAGTAGTGGAAGAGACTGAATTATAGAGATGCACATTATAATAGTGATTTTCCGAAACCCATATTTTTTGGTACTCGAGGGTTAGCGGCCTAATTTCAATTTTTCCGCGGACTTAACCTGTTAATAATATATAATGTATTTTATATCATTTTAGTAATTTTTGATACTCGCAAATTCGAAAAATAAGTTAAAAATTTAAGAAAAGCTCAAAACTTTAGCCATTTTGTTGATTTTCATACTTGTAAGACTTTAAAGACTACCAGAACGATGGAACGCGCACTGTCACCCCGAGGGTGCTGCCCCCAAGAACGCGCAGAGAGGGTCGTCATTAGTGGTGTTCCGTATTGGGCAAAGACCCACTGGGGTTTGGGGCGTCTCTGACCCCCTTCCCCATTTGGCCCTGTGGTGTAGTGGCTAGCGCGTCGGACTGTGGAGCGAACCATCGCGGGTTCGACTCCCGCTCGGTGCGCAACTTTCTTGCTCTCAACGGAATTTCATCGTTCTGACGGTCTTTAAAGACCCACTTTTTCGACAAATTTTATATTTTTGTTGTTGCATTCTTTTTATCTCTAAAAACTGCGTAAGTTATTATAATATCGGGCCATATTTCGTTATGCGGCAAGGTGCGGAATTTCTGTGTTTTTGGGGAATTTGTTGCGTTTAGCGTGCGGTCGTATCTATGCCTTTTCTTGATGCATCGCAAAAATGCATTTTCCAGGTTTATTCGACTTTGAACGTCCCATTAAAAGATCAAAATGAGGGTCAGAATAATTACAAAAATGAAACATTAAAAACATACATAGACCCCCGACTTTTCGGCGGGAATAATGGCACCAAATAACAATGCAAATCATGGCAATTTCGGCGTGGGCAGCTGAGAATCGGTGAAAAAGACAAGAAAAGAGCAGTAAAAATACAAAAATTTGAATAAATTATTTCTTCTTTTGGGCTTCCTGGCATCCCTCCTTTACGTGGCACCACACCAGACCGTTCTGAAAAAAATGTAAAAATTTAATTTATTGCCAGTCTTCAATAATTAGATAAGTGAAATATAGTTAATTTAATTTAATCTAAATTTAATTATATCCTACTTTATATAAAAAAATAGTGTCTGTGTGTGTATGTGTGTGTGCCAATTTGCATGCAACTTCCGTCAGGTTGTTCCAGTCGTATCTCAAGAAGGGGAGGTACTTAGGGGTATGTTCGATACGTCATTAGGTGCGTAATGGTCAGGAGATGACTGCACGCATATCAGATATATCAAACTCCCTTATTTTCGACATTAAATTTTAGTTTTTGTTGCAAAATCCGAGACCCTCTTTGTTAGAAATCAATTAGCATACACCGGAAGTGGGGGTAGCCTATATAAATGAGCAGAGAGCGCATTTTTCACTTTTTCGGACTCGGTGGTGCCGAATTATGCAAAGTGTACACTTTCATTGGTCTACAATGGGGGCCAGGGTTGAAAAGTCGCGAAGCGGCTTTTCAACCCTGGTATTTAATAATACTTGATAATCTCGCAGCCTATTACATTTTCAAACATTTTTTTCGGCTTGTTTTCAAATTTTTCAAGCGTAGATTCCCCATTGAGAATTGTCCGTATCCAAAAACAACGCAAAATGATGCGAGTTGCCATCGATTTTTTGTATCTAATTATTTGAATTGCCAGTTGTTAGTGGAGCGCTTGGTTGCCGCCAAGAATTATTTTGGCCAGATAATTCCGGTGGTCAAACATTTTTGAAACGTTATTTTTCAAAGGCGCAAAAACTAATTTTTCTTTAATTGTTAAGACTTTTAAAATAGAATTCATTGAGCTACATATCATACCTGGCACTGGCAAGTAGTGCACTCTTCCATCTTCCACGATTCACCCTCCTGTTTCACCTTGCCGTCATCCAGTTGGCAGGTGCGTTTTGAGCGGCGTTTGCGCGAGCTGAAATCGGAAATTAATAATATCGGAATATTTTGTTTTGCGCGTAACGATGTTTAAAAAAATTATAATCAGCGGAAAATAGATTTTATACCTCTGAAAAAAGATTATGTTGCAACCTATTTTGAGTACTTATTGAGCGGCGAGCCACCAATTCTTGCGGATATGACGATGGAAAAAAATACAAACCAAGCACAGAAAAACGATTTGTTTAAAAAAATCTTAATTTTTTTAAATGCACTTTGCTAGCCTGCCCTCTCCTCTTCCTCAACAATCTCTGCTAGCCTGCCCTCTCCTCTTACTCAACAATCTCTGCTAGCCTGCCCCTATTAACTTACTTTCCAGTGAATTGAGAATCTTGGTTCATCGAGCAAGTTCCCTCACAGCACGCTTGCCACATGTTCAGGTTTATCTGAAAATTGTAGAATTTTCAAAAATCAGACGTACATACGTTCGGGAATTCATGGATTCTTTCGGAAACAGTCACCCGAATTTGTGAAACAAATTTTTCTACTTTATTTGAACTATAATTTTAAATTTGATTTTCTTATTTGTGCAAGATTCGCAAGCTATTCTAAAGCCGAAAATCGTAGATACTGTAATATTTTTGGAATAGATTTTTGTTTCCTGCGAATATGTTTTAACCTCCGGGATCATTGAGCACTTTTCGTAGAGGAGCGTCGAGTTGCCCGGGTAGAAGAAGACGTCACGCTGCAAAAAACACATATAGGAATTCGAGTTTAATTATAAATACAGGAGCCATCTAATTGGCTTTTTCAAATTTGGCGTAAAATTCAAAATTAAATAGAATACTAATTATGATTATAGGCAGAATTAAAAAAAGATAAAATTAAATGTGAGCGTCAAAGGATTTAACTGTTTCAAAGTTCATTGAATAAAATATGCGCGTTTCTGGCATAATATGACCTTGTAAGTGTTCTGTGTAATCCAGTCATTACAATTAAAATATAAAACTTGGCCAAATTTCAAATATAAAAAATAAATAGAAAATAAATGAAAAATCAAAATATGGAGTTAAAATTAAAAATATACAAAGGTTAAAATAAACATTTTCAAAATTCAAAAATGTTTCGTCTTTCCTAATAAAAATTCAGTCTGAAAAGCACTTTTCTTGGCCCACCTGAACCCGATCGATATCATCGCCGTTGTCGCAGAACAACCGGGCCAGCGAGGTTTTTCTAATCTGCTGCAGTTGCGCCTTGCTGAAGACGCCCTCGTTCTCGTACCTTAATTTCTACCTATTTAATCCGATTCTGCCTTTTTTTTGTCTTCCGCTTTTTTAATTTTATCGATTTTTAGTTGTTATAATTTTATCTAATTTATTAAACTCTAATGGTTTTGATTTTTTCCTACAAATTTGTTATGGATTATTAACTTACTTTGACGCGCAGTTTTGTTTTCTTTTGAAACATATCGCTAAAATTTATTTTTATTTGCGGCTCCAAAGGAAAATTGATCAGTGAAAGTGTGAAGCCACGAGTTTATTTATTTTTACTATATTTTATGGATCCCAGTTTTTCATTTGCTCGTTAACTTGCTATAATTTTGCCCAATTTTTTAAATTCAAAAGCCTTTGATTTTCAACGAAAGAGCCGCTATACATTATCAAAATATGATGGCGCGAGGTTTGGCTTTCTTTTGAAACATATCGTTGAAAATGATTATCATTTACGGCTCTAGGGGACACCCTGCTCAGTGAACGCAAGCCATGGGTTTGTCCATTTTTTAAACTATATTAATGTTGCTTCCCTCCTTTTCAATGTCTCGATTATTACCTGTTATAATTTTTACTTAATTTATTAAACTAGATTTATTTTGATTTGCAACTGAGAAACCGCTGCGAATTATTATCTCGCCGTGATGCGAAATGATATTTTGTTTTGAAACATTTTGCCGCAACTGATTTTAAAGGGAGAGGGGCGGCATAAGTCAATCGATTACGCGAGGGAAAGAAAATGTCTCTGCGCCTCTCCCCTGGGCGCGCTCTCTGCCCTGTTGGCTACTTGCCAATTTGTTGATGAGGGGGGATCGACACATGCCGTCGGCAGCCCTTTAATTGGAATTTTGATTTGCGGATCTAGGCGGCAAATTAATTAGTGAAAGTGCTGATATACGACTTTTGGAACTTTTTTGAAACATCTTATTTCCCAAAATTTCAAAGCCGCGTAATAATAAAGCCTTAAGTGAATGTAGTAGCAAAAGTGATTTTTGTAATTCTTAAAAAGACAAATTGGCATACCAATGGCGGTCGCCGGCGCGGAGGCGCTTGAACTGATCGGCGATGAGGCAGGCGAACGTGGGGCCGACAAGACCATCCGGCATCCTCGTCTCCACCACGGAGCCCACCCACAAATCAATGTTTCCTGAAATGAAGGAGGTGACGTTTTTGATAGGAAAGTAATAGGTTGTTGAAAGACGGAAACACGCTTTGAAAACGAGTGTTTCGTATAATAGGTAGGATGGCTTCGATTGTGCATCCCGCAATGACTTGTTTAATTGTGGCCAGCAAACAAACAAAATTAAGTCACTATTGATATGGTAAAGTTTCAAGAGGAAAATTTTATAGTTAAATTTTGGCCCAAAATCGGCATTTCTAGTCAAAAAAAATCGAAATTCTTGGTTTTGATTTTCATAAAAATTTGTCAAACTTTTAGTAATGGTAATAGTAATGGCAGTAATAATCGGAAAAATAAGGTATAGAAAAAACAAGACCGCTAAAAAATTTAGGTCCCCGGGCCGATTAAAATAATGTTTCGAGCAAACAACGGAAACAGTTCGAGCTCCAGAACATTAATTTTCGCTATTTGCAGGCTGCGCCAAACTGTGAGGCTTAAAAAAATGCGGGTAAACAGCATGGCAGAGAACATTTGGACTCCAATTAATCTACCCTCAAAGCCTACCAGGATGGCCATAGAGCGTCCGCAGCTTATTCCGGACATCGGCATCAGGTACTTCGATGGCCATCTCCTCCCACGTGGTCGGTACCGACAGTTTGCACCATTTACGGTACTCCGTCCAGCTAAAAAATTATGCATTCTGGCAAATAATAAGTTTCAAATTCTACGGATTAGGGCACCGGAAAATATTTGCTATTAAACGAATTTGCGAAAACAAGTTTCAAAATTTCGTCATTTTCGCTGGCGCTGAGATTTGGTAATAGAAAGTTCTCAATCAATACTATGATTGAATTTAAGCAAATTGAAGCATTTTACTTTTCACATTCTTTTTACGCTTTGTGTCTAGGGTCTATTCCAATCTTCTATCGTTTTTCTTATATTTTAATTCGTTTGTTTAATATAGCAATTTAATTTAGCCTAAAAATATCTTTTTTTATCAAATTCTCAGATTTTTTAGGTTTTGAATTTTTACTGTCAGGCGTATGTATGGAATGGTAGGCAGAGCGGAACACCATGGACGTCAGATCAATTTGGCAAATTTTTATGCACGTATTACACGAAGATTGGAACACATTTTCTTTGGGCCTTGAAATTTTTAAGCCAGATACCTCCTTTATTTTTTTCTTCTTGTCCTTTCTTCTTCAAAAGAAAAAAAAATAAAGCATTTCATAAAAAACGGAGGTGTTGGAAAATGGTGTTTCAGTGAAAAAGTTGATAAAGTTGGATTTTTTAGTTAATCGGTGCTACGTAAGCTCTTGTAAGCGTACTACTATAGCATGATATAAGGTTTAGGATTGAAGCGAAGCGAGCGTCGATGAAAATTACCGAATCATTCATAGATTTTTTTTCTATATTTTGAGGCTTTTTCGATTTTGTTTGTTCGATATAAAAGTTTTTATGCGTTGCAAAAACACCCACCTTGGCAGTCCGTGATCCCGGGCTCGCTGTATGTTCATCACCGCCAGGTCGAGGGAGACCTGGATTCAAATTATATGCATTTGTAGGTTACTCGAATTTAAAATAAGTAAGCCGATTTTTTTGGTAGTTTTGGGTGGAAGGAGTGCGTCGCGGCATTGTTTTGCGATTAACCAAGATTGCAGCAGGTTTTGATGAAACCTGTATTTTTCCGGATTTCGCATAATGTCCTTTACGTTGATTATGTTGCTCTTTATTTACCTTTTCTTTTCAAAAATAAGTTCTAATAAAATCGGTAAAGCAAAACATGAATAACATAATTTACGGGGTCTTCGCTAACGCGGCTTCCTCGGTGTCTTCTTCCCTGAGTTGAAAAATCCCCACTTTTTCTTAGATTTTATGAAACGTTTTTTCCACTTTTTCGAAGTGTCATTTATCTTTCTTTTTGTTTTTTTTATTTGTTTTTTTTTGAAGCGTATGTTATCGACATCACAGCAAAATCAAGGGAAATTAATAGACCAATTAAGGAAACATTCATTTGCTAGAAAGTTTTTTAATTAAAAAATTGATAAACTATTTTATGGAATTTTTAATATAATGAAAAAGAGAAAAGACCCTGTAATAAGGATTTGCAAACACCATTTTGTCGTATTTTTTACGAAACATATAAACCGTTTTGTTTGCATTCCACTTTTTGCGAAATGTCTTTTAATTCGATTAAAGTCGTTTTCATATGTGCTTGAAATTGTAGCTTTTGATTACAATGGTTTGCCGGTTTTATAGATTTTTTTTAGAATTTAGGTTTGAAAATTAAAATACCTCATGGGCCCGGGGGAAGAGCTTCTCAGTGAGCTCCATGTTCATCACCTGGTTGCTCTTTGGCAATTTGAGCGGGGAGGCGAAGAGACCACTAAAAAGCATTAAAACAGAATCTGTAATTATAAACTATATTTTTAAAAATATACTGAAGGGTTATTTATTCTATTTTAATAGCTTTTGACCTCACGACAGAAAAACCTCGGAAACGTCGGGAAAAAATGCAGGAAAGTTGTTGTGCGAAAGTGAAACATCTTTTAGTAGGTTTTTTTGAGGGGCTGATTTTATTAAATTAGAATCTTGCTTTGACTTCACGTCTGTACAATTTTGATCCTGATCTATGAATGACTTGACACAGCTTCTCGATAGTCAAGCAAAATTCTGATTTTAACCGGCTTTCTACGAGATTGGATTCTCTACATTACGACTCACTTACCGCAAAAGTGGATCAATGCCTCCTTCAGACAACAGGCGCTCCGGCGCGAAAAACGCCTGAAGATTGTTAGCTTTTAGATTGAAGCAGAAACAATACTATAAAAATCAAAAACCCACCTCGTGTAGTGGAATATGGCCCTGTGGGATTGGATTGAAGTCTTTTCCAAGTCTAAAATAAACTAGAAATTTCGGACACTCCTAAACGATCTCTGCTAGGCTGCCCTCTCCTTTTCCTCAACAATCTCTGCTAGCCTGCCCTCTCCTCTTCCTCAAAAATCTCTGCTAGCCTGCCCTCTCCTCTTCCTCAACAATCTCTGCTCGCCTGCCCTCTCTTCTTCCTCAACAATCTCTGCTAGCCTGCCCTCTCCTCTTCCTCAACAATCTCTGCTAGCCTGCCCTCTCCTCTTCCTCAACAATCTCTGCTAGCCTGCCCTCTCCTCTTCCTCAACAATCTCTGCTAGGCTGCCCTCTCCTTTTCCTCAACAATCTCTGCTAGCCTGCCCTCTCCTCTTCATCAACAATCTCTGCTAGCCTGCCCTCTCCTCTTCCTCAACAATCTCTGCTAGCCTGCCCTCTCTTCTTCCTCAACAATCTCTGCTAGCCTGCCCTCTCCTCTTCCTCAACAATCTCTGCTAGCCTGCCCTCTCCTCTTCCTCAACAATCTCTGCTAGGCTGCCCTCTCCTTTTCCTCAACAATCTCTGCTAGCCTGCCCTCTCCTCTTCCTCAAAAATCTCTGCTAGCCTGCCCTCTCCTCTTCCTCAACAATCTCTGCTCGCCTGCCCTCTCTTCTTCCTCAACAATCTCTGCTAGCCTGCCCTCTCCTCTTCCTCAACAATCTCTGCTAGCCTGCCCTCTCCTCTTCCTCAACAATCTCTGCTAGGCTGCCCTCTCCTTTCCTCAACAATCTCTGCTAGCCTGCCCTCTCCTCTTCATCAACAATCTCTGCTAGCCTGCTCTCTCCTCTTCCTCAACAATCTCTGCTAGCCTGCCCTCTCCTCTTCCTCAACAATCTCTGCTAGCCTGCCCTCTCCTCTTCCTCAACAATCTCTGCTAGCCTGCCCTCTCCTCTTCCTCAACAATCGCTGCTAGCCTGCCCTCTCCTCTTCCTCAACAATCACTGCTAGCCTGCCCTCTCCTCTTCCTCAACAATCTCTGCTAGTCTGCCCTCTCCTCTTCCTGAACAATCTCTGCTAGCCTGCCCTCTCCTCTTCCTCAACAGTCTCTGCTAGCATTTCCAGAAGTGGAATCAAAAAAAAAATTAGTAAATATCATTTACGAGCGAGCACTTTTTGGCTTGAAACATCAAAATTCAATCAGTTTTTGTACCTCAACTGGCATTTTTTCAGGTTTTAAAAAAAAATCTACATACCTTTTAAGCACCGGATTAATTAGCGTATGGCCAAATCTGAAAGCAGCGGTGGCAAAGGCGTTGGCGATGGACGGGTCGATGGTCGGATCGTAGCCCATGTAGTCTCCAATCAGCTCGGCGAAACCGGTCTGGACAAGTTCGGTTATCTTTATAATCCTAAATAGTAGAATTCTAGGCGAATTGTTTTAATTTAATCGGGTTAAGGTATTTTGAAATGCACTCTAAATCTCAAAAACTGTGTTTCAGACATGGACTTGCCTTAATCAAACGGTTTAGCACTAATTGTAAGCATTTTTGATTTTTTTCCGCCAAAATCGGTAAAGCAGTATGGTTCTTTTAGGAATCCGAATTTCGAAAAAAAGTCACAAAAAACGTTAAAATCCACTGACCTTGCCGAGGACGGTGGGCAGCCACTGGCTGTAGGTGATGTGCTGGATCATGGCGCTGATCAGCTTCCGGGTTTCCTGAAAAAAATTAATGTAGCAAAAATAGGTATTTTTTGGGTTTTAGGATTAAAACATTAGTTGAACGATTTCTTTGCGGGATTTAAGAACGAGAAAAAACATGGCAATATTCTGCGCCGAATCACATTAACGAAATCCCGCCTGGTGGGTTTAATGTTTTTCAGCATAACACATTTTTTAACTTTCTTTGACGTTTCCACTTGAAATTTTCACTAAACTTCACTAAGGACATTGAAACGAATAGAAAACTGAGAAAAAAGAAAGAGGAGCAGCTGTAAAATAAGTATGCCAAAAATACCTGAAAAATGGTCTCCCCATCCCAGTTGACGTTCATCTCCAGCAGCTTGGCGGCGACGCGGTTGTGCTCACGCATGAAGATTGTGTGCAGCGAGGTGAGGCCAAGCTAAAGGAGAATTAAAGTCTGAAACAAACAGACACCATTTTTTATATCTGGTAGTTTTGAACATTTATAAAGGACGTCTTAAAAAAATAGAAAAAGATTTATTAACAAGGGAAGGTTGTTTGGGTCAGGTGTCAAATCGACTTGAAACTTTGCCAGTGGATAGAAAATCAAAAATAAAGTGGAGTTTCTAAACCTCATTTTTTGCACAATACCCCAAATTAAAAAGTTATAGGTCTTTGAAGTTACATAAAAAAGCTCGAAACGACCCGACAATTCTGATCTGATCCTCATTGTGGCCTGCCCCCTTTTCTAGCTCTTGCGTCGCCCGGACTGGCAAGCTGTTTGGCGCAGTAGGTAGCGCCTTCGCGTGCGACACTTTTTAAATTTTCGTAAACGAGTTCAAGTTTTTGTGGCGTCTAACTTTTTGCTTTTTGAATTTTACGCCAACTAACCCTAATTTGCAAGAGCAAAAAGCAAAAAGCAAAAAGATAGAAACGTTTTAGTCTCGAACTTTTGCAAAAAATATTTCAAAAGTTTGTGAGTCAAGCGCACTACCGATTGCGCTACAAGAGACGTGGGGGGACGGAGACGAGAGAGGGTCAAGGAATCACGCATGCAGAAAATGTGGAAACGGGGCGGTATTGGTGCAAAAGCCTGCGCGGAACTCATTTTTCAGACCACAAACTTTAAATGCTTACAACTTTTTAATTCGGGGTATTGTGCAGAAAACGACTTAGCGCACTTTGTTCCGTTTTCAATTCTCTATCAACTGGCAAATTTTCAGAAAGATTTGACACCTGACCCAAACGACCTTCCCTTGTAAGCACTACCGAAACCATAATTCCAAAATTTTTCAAATCTTAGTTTTAAGAATAGACAAAACATCTTTTCTCATTTTCGAAAATTTCTGAAGCTCGATTCAAAGTCAGCATACAAGACACGAGGAGCGTCAAAATTACAACGCTAAGAATTTTCATTATTTCCAGATTTTCTGAAACTATATTTTTTAAGTCGCCTTGAAAAATTAAAAAAGCACATTTTAAGGAATTTTTGGTTTTGGGCTGGGGCAAGGCAATGATTTCTGCACTAATAATTTCTGCTGTATTTTTAGGGTTTTTATTAGTTCTTTGTTGCTAGGAAGTGATAAGGAATCCATTAAAAACTTCAAAATTATGTAGGTTTTTATATTTGTCGTAATTTTGCATGCCTTTCTGGCCAAAAAGACAAAAATTGTTGCCACAATTTAGAAATCTTATTGGAGTCTTATATATATCTAATAACCGTGTAAAATGCCGTAAAAATTATTTCTATTTTGCTAAGGGGCCATACTGGGTCACCGAGAAAACTTTTATCCGTATAACGCCACATAAAAAGTTTATAATTTTCTATTTAGGATTTTTAGACCTGTTTTCACAGGCTAATTTTCGACTTATGACTTCCTTTAAAAGCTGATGAAGCTGGTGGCTTTTAACTACGATCAAATAATACCTGCTCGTTTGCCCTCAAATCCCCAGCCAAAAAGCATCGGATCGGGTTGTCGACGGAATAGTTCCTCCGGCAGTCCATATCCGAGTCCTTCTCAAATGGCATATACGGCTTTTGGGCGGCCGAGACGATGTCGAATCTGTGAGGTATGTATATTTCTATTCATTTAATGTATTGCTTGATCTTAAAGCTCGGCTCAATTGCTCCCTAAATTTTTCCCGAATATTGGAAAAAACTGCAACATCGATTTTTTAAAGATCCGTGACCTTTCCTCCGGTCAATTCCCATTTTTAAAGGTTTCAAAAAGGCAAAGGCAAACGTATGTTGTGGTTAATTTTAATGCATTTAATGAACGGCTTTAGAATTTAATAAATCAGAGCTTTTACAAACGGACATCGGCCTTCGATCGATTGAACCCAACAAGTCTTACGGAACATTGAAAATGGCCGTAACATAAAATTTTGAAAACGTGAAATTTTCTGCGATTTTGCCCTCGCATCAGATTTCTGTTTTTTTTTGTATAGATTCTAAGCTATTATTGAAAGGACGGTGATATCCGAATATGAGGTTGCATCTTTAAGATGTAAGTTTGGTATAACTTTAAAAATTGATAAAGCATATCTTTCGATTAAAAGAATGATGCATGAAAAATCCATTAAGGATCGACATCCAAAAATCCATTAAAAATCCATGACGAGACCTTTAAGAAATTACCAATACACTACGACAATTCGTCAAAAAACTATGTTGTATTAAACTACCAATATCAAGTCGGGCTATTTTTCGCAATAAATAATTCTAAAAAAAAATTAGTGAAAATTCGTAATTTTGACATTCAGAAAAAATATTTAACGGATTTAATTCGTAGTTATGAATATATTTATTTAAAAAGAATCACTAATAACCTCAGCTTCAAAAAGCTTACCTTAATAATCCGTGGTCCCCAAAAAGGTCGCGCAACTCCAACGCCTGCACCTCCGTCGAACCGTACACCACCGAGCCGTCCAGGTAAGAGGTTAACTAAATTATAAAGTTTAAGGGTTGAATAAAATAAATAATTATTATAATTCGATGAATTTAACATATTTTAATTCTAAATTTAGCAACTTAACGGAGAACAAATTAGTTAAATTTTAACAGAAAAGCAACAGAGTTTATTCTAAAATTGCAATTTTAGTACAGTGAAAGTAGTATAAAAGATTGTTGATAAATTGACAGTATCTATTATCAGCCCCCCTTGAAAATGAATGTAACACACATCCTTCAAAAAAATATGACGATCAAAGTGTTCAAAAAGGTTCTAAAAATATAAGATAATAATATTTTTTTGTGTATTAAGAATGAAACCGAATGAAGCTAAATGAATAAAAATAATTGACCTCATGATTTTTCACGGCATTTTGAAAAATACCGCAACCTCAATTTTCAAAAGGATTGACGGATGCTTTTTAATTTTTGAATTTTAAATTTTAGGAATTCCCCCATTGTTTTTGAAATTATTATGATTGAAATTATTTTTTATGAGTTTAAAATTAGATGGGAAATCCTACAATATTCAGCTGCTCGCGATAGGTGACCCGATCGAAGATTAGTGACGTTTCTCCGGATCCGCAAACGGCTCCCGAGCGCTCGAATTCGATGCACGGGTGTTTCACTTCTCTGAAATTACCCTAATTGAATCTTCCAAAATAAATTTTTAAAATTGCGCGTTTTTCTGTTTGGCCGATTGAACACGTAAAAATGCTGAAATTAACAATGCTAATACAAAATGAAGACACTTCCAAATCGCGATTACTGGCGCCTGTCTGTTTTTCTAAGCAACAAAACTTGAAACATCTTTCGAAAAAATTGAAGTTGAGTAGGTAATTAAACAATGCATATGTTTCTGTTTTTACGACCTAAAATCAATCGTTAATAATTTTTAACAACGTCAGCACTAGCTCAATAAAATTCAAATTCCGAACCTTCCCATCTTAAGCTTCGGGTCGTCCTTCGGCAGCTGGATGTTGAAGCATGGCTCCAGGTTTTCGCAGGTTCTGCAAAGAAGATGTTTCAATAAGTTTAAAGTCGTCCATCAAGGCGAAAAATCAATTACCAGAAGTAAAAGCGCAATGAACTTTTATCTTTTGACCGTACCTGTTGCAGACGGCGCCCGTCGTGTAGGCATTTCTCGTGAGCGGCGGGGCCGTGTGCGTCAGGTCGTGGTCTAAAAGTAATTTTTATGATAATTTTTTACCGTGTTTTGACGTTTTTGTATTGTTAAATTACATAATTATTTTAATAGAATAAGACTGCCATCTAAATTAACCTTTTTTGAAGCTGATTATTTCAGTTTTATGCGAGCCAGTTACTGCCAGATTGTTGGCAGATTCCTCAAATAGCTTTTGTCAATTCCCGAAACACTTATTTTTCCTCGCGGCCTGGTATGCCGTGTTCAATTAACATAAAACGGGTGGCCCTAGCTTAGGCTTAGGCTTAGGCTTAGACTTGGGCTTACCCTTAGGCTTAGGCTTAGGCTTAGGCTTAGGCTTAGGCTTAGGCTTAGGCTTAGGCTTAGGCTTAGGCTTAGGCTTAGGCTTAGGCTTAGACTTGGGCTTACCCTTAGGCTTAGGCTTAGGCTTAGGCTTAGGCTTAGGCTGACTCACCAACAAACTGTCCCCACTGCATCACCATAGATGATAGATGGCCGTGAGGGGTAATGTCGTGCGTAGCGATCAGTTGCCGTGATACCTAAATTCATTTAAATAATCGGCTAGTTACATTAAAAAATATTGTTTCAACTTGAGAATAACAAAGAATAAAAATCAAATTTTTTAATTTTACAATTTATTGCTGTTTATTCGATGACTAGGTGAAAAAAATCCCGGTCAGTGTAACATATGTGAAACACGTTTCCGAAGTATTTTTGTGCACTTCGTTTTTTAAAGCGACGTTTTATTTGATTTTAGATGGATTTCTAACGATTTCTTAGTTAATTTTTAGCTATTTTTTAAACTCACATCTCTAGGATTGGGCATGGGGAACCCGTTGTACAGCTTGTTCTTCTCCCAGCCGACCGGCGTGTTGAAGCCGTTCTCGTAGACCGGGGCGAGCAGGCGCTAAAGTTCGTTTAGACTTGGCTTATTAGGCTTAGGCTTGGGCTTGGCTTAGGCTTTGCTTGGGCCTAAGCTTAGGCTTAGACTTTCCTTAGGCTTAGACTTTGCTTAGGCTTATTAGGCTTGGGCCTAGGCGTATCCATTGTCAGTTTTAAGTGAATTAATGACTTCATATCTTGAATTTTTGACGAAACATCGATTTCGGAATTTTTTTAGATTAAATTAATTTTTGAATTAAAGATTGTTTTTCGTCTGCGCCAAAAATATAACATGGCATTTTTCCCAAAAATCAAAAGTATTTTGGCAGATACCTTCAACGGCATCTGCGAAACGCCCCACATCGGGTGGTCCAGGTTGTTGCATTGGCCGTCGTAGGAGCTGCAAGGAAATGTTTCATTAATCTGCCTGTCTTATCGATTTCTTTATTAGCCTTATTCCAGCATCGAATTTCTCTTTATTACCAAAAGGCTTTTACATTACCAGGTCAAACTATTTTTTATAAAGGTTCCGAAACTCCAAGTGGCATTTTTATTACTATTTTTTACTAATACTACTATTCTTATAGTGTTTTATGAAGATTTAACTATGTTTCAAGTGGCAAAACGATCAAAAAAATTGGTGAAACAATCAAAAAAATGTTGAACAAAAAGCGGCATTCTTAGTCGAAAAAAATAGATATTTGCTGTATTTTTTTTAAATAAAAATTTGTAAGGCCTGTCTTTTCAATGGCGCTATCAGAATTGCGTCAAAATAATATATTTGAAAAGAGCTCCATTGACAATAGAGATAATAGGATTTCGATGGATGGTTCTTTTAAGGGGTTACGAGAAAAATTGGGACCTAGAAAAAAATTTGGTTCCTGTAAACAACAAAAAATTTGGCCTTTACATATGTTTCAAAAAAATTTAATGCGAAGTACGTCCTAATGTTATTAATCCAAACATACATTATCGCTGATTGATTGAAAAACTTGAGACCAAATGAGCTTACCGATATTTATTGTGGAAGCACATGTCGGTGCAGGGATTCCTGAAAATATTCGTATAATATTGTTTTTTAATAGATTATACTTTAAATTAAATCAAATAGTAGATTTAAAAATAATTAAAAATAAAATGCTTCGATAATTTGCGAAACGAGAAATTTAAAAAATTCCTATAACGAGAAAAAGCACATAAAATACCTAAAAATTCCGGCCTGGCACCCGGACAGCTCCATGATGGTCTGCACGTGCGACACGGCCAGCACCGACTCGTAGGAGACGTTCTTCGGATGCAGGTCGCCTACGGGTAGCATTAGGCCTGGAATTTTAATATTCTGGTGTTTACTGGTATATTAAAAATCGTGCTAATCAAACGTGCCAAAGTTTTAAATTGGGACATTTAATTTTAAAAATGACATTTTAGTTCAGGTTAAAATAATTAAAATTAGGATCCAATGTTATTGAATCATTACCGAAAATTTCTAAATTAGGCAATTTCTACCACAAGTAAAAACATGTTTAAATTATAGCAGAAAATCCCACAAGAACAACTCCTATTTCGCCAAAAAAATTTCTATTTTGAAAAAACATGTTGAGAGAAATGCCGCTTTTCTCGAATGTTTCCCTTTCTTAGTGTTGTGGTTCTTTTCTTACTTTCTAATTAAAATTAATTTCGTCAGGAAAACCTTATTAAAACTGTTATTCCGGTCTTGATCATGAAATCACCAATTAATTTTATATTCAGCTCGAAATATACAAAATGCCATTCTTTGATCAGCAAAAATTGTAAAAAATTGAAGGTTTCAGGAAAACGTGCAAAACCAAAAATTTTTTCCGGGCGTAATGTGTCCTCATGCTCTGGCCAAAATGTCGTTTCGATACGGTATGTTTAATGCTAACGTTTTAGCATCGCTATATTTTTCTTCGATGTCTTTTGGCTTTTTTTTTAACGGTTCTTAAAAACACCGTCAATAAGCCGATAACGCTATTTTTTGTCGAATGAGCGCACCTCTCTCGACGTGGCTCTGCACGAGACGAATCGACTCCTCGTAGATTTCACGCGATTTGCTGAGCTCGACGGCCTGGATTGGCGGAAAATAAGGAATGGTGGGATCATTTGCATTATCAGGGGGGGGGGTGGTTTTCCACAAGTCCAGAAATGCGTAGTAACGTAATATTAATTGTTCAAATAGTTTTTTAGCAAAATTAAATTATATTTCCAGTGGAAAACCTATCGAAAAACCTACTCTTTTAAAAATTTGAAATATTAAGCAAAAATCAGCCATTCTGGTCGAAAATCGAACCCCCCCCCCCCCCCGATAATGCAAAGCGCCCATTTATATTCAGCGATTTAACTTTATTAGTATAGCGAGAAAGCCCGCCCTTTAAAGAATTTTCCATCGGCATGTAGTAAAGATTGTTGGTGTGTTTGTACCCAACACTTAATAAATTTACTGAAACATTTTTTCAAAAAAGTTCGATGATTTCAAAGTTTTTTGACAAAATATATTATTTTAATTTTTGAGCTGAGAAGATTTTTAGTAGGTTTTATCATATCTTCAAACAAAATTATATTTTATCTGGTTAATTTACCTGCTTCGGGATGGCGAACTTCATCAGTCGCTTCAAATCCGAAGTGCTTCTCACTCCATCGCGCGCCAATTGCGTCTTCGTGTTGGCGATGGCGCTGAACAAGCCAATAAATTAAATATATGAACTTTAGATAAATTATTTTCATGGAATGCATAAAAAAACAACTTTAACAATTTTTTTACAAAATCGAAAAATTTGTGCAAAAATGTGTGTTTCAAATCCTAGGCTAGAGGTGTAGATTTGCATCCCAGCAATCCACCCTATTGCAGATCTGGAGAATAAACCTTTTCAAAAATCCCGGCTTTCTTGTTTGCCTGATTTTTCTATTTTATTAACCATTAATATTTCCTAATAAATTAAAAAATTTAATAAAATATTTTTTCATAGAATTAGTAATAAAAAGCACCAAAACGCGTACCGATTCACATTCTCCGTGGCCTGCTGGACGATATTTTTCAGAAGCGCGTCGTCAACGACCTTGTCTACCTGAATAGGTAATTGGAGTTTTATATCACAAGATTTAATGTTTAGGCGGGAAATAGATTTTAATTAAATTTTACATACCTCAACCTGCAATTTTCCCTTGACGCTCAGCCGCGCCTCGGCCATCATCGCGCCGACACTATTTCCGGCCATGCAAGAATAGACACCCTCGTCCTGAAAATTTACAATTGAAGGTGGAACCTGTCAATTAAACTAAGCTATTAAAAATAGACTAAAATCAATAAACTATCAAAAATTAAATAAAAAAACTGGTTCAGAAATTTGTTTTTTATATCTGTTTCGCAATAAAAATTATGTCTCAACTTTTGTGGCGCATGTAGGTGATTTCTACGAGCTTAATTAGCGTTGTTTTGGTGCGCAATTTCAAATTTGAACTGTAGGAACTTCTGCTACTTTATATTTTCTAAAAAATTTTCGATAAATTTAAAAAACCTATTTAGAAAGAAATTTTGCCACGAGCATCATCCTAAAATCAAAAGTAAACTTTGAATTTATTTTTTAGAAAATCAAAAATCAATAACAGCATAAACAATTTTTGTGACTTTGGTGGGGAAAAGGGTTTTTTTAAAGATACAAGTATGGTTGATTTCTCAAAGATTAAGCTTTCGTCGAAGGCGCTGGTGCGGAATTTCAGATCCCAGGGTTCTTTAGGATTTCCGGGCGGGGGGGGGAAGTATTTCCGGGGGGGGAAACCAAATTTTTTCAGCCCAGGCCTAAATTTTTTTCTAAATAGCGCATGCGTTTCTAAATGGTTTTTAACTAGTCCTGAGTATAAAAACTACCCACATTTTAATTAAAAAATTTAATTTTAGGTCGAAAAATCCTATAGAACCTTTAGGATTAGCGGGGGGAAGACCCAAAATGACTAAATTTTCGACTTTTTCAAACATTTTTCTAACTTTTTTGAAAGGTTTTTCTACTTGAAATATAGTTAAAATTCACTAAAAACAATGTGAAAACATTTTATATTTGATTACTAGGTCAACCGGGAAAACCAGGAAAAAATTTGGTTTCCCCCGGAAATACTTTCCCCCCCCTCCCCCGGAAATCCTAAAGAACCCTAAAAAAAAAATTTCGGGAGCAATTTCAATGGTCCTTTGTATTGTCCAACAACTTAAAAAAACCGAAAATCTTCTTATAAAACGCTCGAACAATCCTAAGGATTAAAATATAGTGATCAAAATTTAAAAGTCGCTAACCACCATAAACTATTTTTCAGAAATTTTTGAAAAAGATGTTTCAAAGTTGTTTCGCCTGCAGTTCTATTCTGAAAGATTAATAACCCCATTTCATGAGGTGGCGTGATTTCAAAATTGCACTGTGCGTAAGTTGATCGTTATCTGGTCTTGTATAACAGATGCAAAGATCTCGAAGACGCTTGGCCATCGATATTGCATAAAAATCGATCGTAAGAATCGAGGTATACTTTCATGGGAATTTCGAAAATTAGAAAAAATGATAAAAGCTTCCAGAAGTGGACGATCGTTTTCAAAAAAAAAGATGTTTCAACCATGTGGCTAGCTTCGTGTTCTCTCAAACCACCAATTCGCCCGTCAGCTATCTTCTCAAATCTAATCAATTTTCGACCAAGAATAAACAAATAACTAAACATATGCTTAGCATCATTTAATAACCCCTGTAACGATTTAGAAAATGATTTAATTTACTTGAGAAAATCAAATGAAAATTTGGAACCTTATCGATCAAAAACGACTTAATTTCGTAACTAACTAAGAATTACCTGACGTGAGACGTGCGAGATGGTCATCTCGGTCCGGTCGTCGGAGGTCTGAAAACACAAAAGAATAATTTTCAACAAATTTTTTTGTAATGGCAAATCAGTCCAGGAAGTAAGTTTTTGAAGGGTACTACGTCTTAAAAACCTAAAAAATTTTTGTACTTGATTTATTTGGCACTAATACAAGAACGGTTCTTTATCGTATTGCCATCCTGAAAATTTTGGAGGGATCAACGCTACTTGAAACATGATAATTAATCGGAAAAATGAATGCATTTTTTGTTTATTTCAATGATTTTAAGATCAATTTAAATTAAAATTTAAATATTTTTTTGGATTTATTTGCGAGTTTTGCCAGAAACCATTAATCGAGGAAAAAGTTTTGCGATTTTGGGTTATTCTGAAACACGGAAGTTTTTAGCGTATAGAAAACTTTCATTTCTTACTAGTACTTACTGCCTAAAGATGAGAGCAAAATAAATAAAGTCGCGTCGAAACCGAGCTGTTCCACTCGCTTTAAAAACCTCCCACCTGATACCTTCCCTGCTTCAGCGGCATCTCGGCCCCTTCGAAGAACCACGAGATTTCGGGCTTCGGGACGCCTCGGGCCCGGCACCGGAATGTCACCTGAATTTGCATAATTATTTGATATTTTTCAGCGATTTATACTTTAGCCCCTTAAATAATGATGACGACAGAGACTCATAAAATATTGTGGTTAGTATTACTTTGTTGAAACACGTTTTAAAAAGTAGGATGCTTGCTTCGACGACTTGCACTTTTTGCGAAACGTTTTGTTTTTCAAATTCTAAAATTCGACCTGTTCTCCCGGTTCAACTGAAGCGGCTTGTGGTGGATCGAAGATGGCGGGCGGAACGCTGAAAATGGAGTATACTGTAATACTTTTATTTTGGCATTGTTGCATTTTACTAAAATGTGCATGAATATAAAAATTTATATCAATAAAAGGCCGACCTGCTGATCAAGTGGATCCGTGCGGTGTGTTCGATACGACCATGGATATTTTCGGCAATACAAGTGTAACTGAAACGGATTTTTTAAGGGGCAGGCTTGCAGAGATTGTTGAGGAAGAGGAGAGGGCAGGCTAACAGAGATTGCTGAGGAAGAGGAGAGGGCAGGCTAGCAGAGATTGTTTAGGAGATTGTCGTTGAAGAAAAGCGCAGAGCCAGTGGAAGGCATCTCGTTTTTCCAAGCCCAATAAAACGATGAAACATACGTTCCAGCGTCGGCCTCCAAGAAAGGGTAGATCTTGAGCACAGAATTAGCCTGTGTCATTTCAAACTTTCTGGAAGACACTAGCGGCTGACGGTTACGAAGCCAGGCAATGGACGGGCGTGGCTCTCCTGTCACCTAAAAACAGCATTTTTTTTGGATTTCGTTTTACATCAGTCTACATCATTTTCCAACTTGGATTTATTTAATTGTCCTTTAGTATACTTCGTCGCCCCCCCGGGGCGAGGGGCAAAAATAAGGAGCAAAAATTATTTTTGTACGGAATGCGCAACTACCACCGAAGCTTCATTAATACCTCTTTCTACACGAAAAATGACTATTTTAATAAAACACATTTTTTTTAGTAAACAACTTTTAGTTTTAGTTTGTTTTGAGTATGAAAGTCACCTCGCAGTGCAGTTTGACCGGTGTCCCCTCGCGATAACTCGAGTCCTTCGGCTTGAATGTGAACTCCGGAGCTGTCGACATCCTCGACAGGGTCGGCCGGATTTGACGGGCATTTCTAAAATGAAAAATTTTTGAATAAATGAAATTAGATGAAAATGAAAATTAAATGACAAACCTACCTCTACGCATTAAAAATAAGAAAAATTCTTAGTTGCCGTAACTTTAAAGAAACATCCAGTTTTTCAGCGGCATTATTTCAGGAGCATTTTAGAAGGTCGAAATGTTTTTGACAAAGAAAAAATGCTAATCGCCATGCCATTAAAAATCCTAGCAAAAAATTTTTTTTTTGGTTGGCGCAACTCATAAGCATCCATTAAACTTACTACCATTAAAAGACCTCCAAGTTGTTAGTTTTGGAGAGTTGATAAAACATCAATTGTGGAGCAAAACTTCGCTGTATAATTACAAGAAGCACCAGTTTTTGAACTTTTAAATTTGAAGGATCATTTAATTCTTCGCGGGTTTTGGATGGATGTTCGAAGCACAGCGCACGCGCGACAAATACCCGAAAAATGAGTTAGGGACGCGTGCAGCTCGCATTAAAAAAGTTATATTTTTAATTTTTAGATTGCTGTGAAACATTCAAAATTTTTCGTGAAAATGTTTTTAAATTTGGGGTTAGTACTTGGAAAAATGGGAAAATTGCATAACGCACCAAAAAACCCGTTTCGATCCAAACCAAAGAAAAACACGCTATTCGAACGTTAAAACTACATAAAACCGAGAATTTTCAGTAAACACTTATCATGACAAAGAAAGAAGCAAGTATTATTGTTTGTGAAAATTTTTGAAACATTTTTCCTTGAATTTCCATCTTTTGACCTACAGTTTGATAACGAAAAAAAACTATAAAATAGTATTTACTTTTAGGTGATCATGCTCTTTTTGGCTTGAAGCGGAAGAGAAAACTACCAAATACCCACCTCGGGCTGGTACTGTAGGTGACGGCACATTTATAATCGCCAGGCTGGGCGCCGAGCGGAATTAGGAGCGTTCCGTTGTCCTAAATTCGTCATTTTCGCGTTAGTTTAATTATGTTAATTGCCATTAAAATTTTAAAATAGCAGAGATCACCTTCAATTCCCAGGAGTCTTCCGAGACCGACTGCTCCAGCTCGATGCCTCTAGAAATCGTAATTAATCGGTTTATCTTTTCTTTAATTTTCATCAATATAAAATTTTGTAAAATAAAATAAGTCCCATTTATGTAGAATTTTTATAAATTAAAAATCTATGCTTCAAAACAATCTTCAAGTCCTTTTGCTGGCATCTGATTATTGTTACTCATGTTAATCACTACTAAAACTGGAGGAAAATTTGAAACTACGTTTGCGAAAAAAGCGTGTTTCACAATTTTGGCTCTCAAGCTGTTCTGCTCCTTGACCAGTCGATTCTTTTCATTCGAAAATTAGGGTTTTCAGGTTTTATTTTTTGACTTAAAGGGGCACGCAAGGCATAACTATGGATATTTATGACTAGTTGTTGGCATGAATTTTGCCGCCCCGCGACACGCAACGCGCCCGCTCGCCTTTTCATGGCGCAATGGATTAGGGCCCGTTTTTGACGGCTTAGCGGTAAGCGCATTGAAATTCATTAACAGGTAATTTGACCATTGAATAAAAATACCAAATCTGACAAACTGACTGATACGTCCAGATGGGCTGTCCGACATCTTCCTGCGGACAGGTCAACTGGATGGCGGATCCCATATTTTCTTCCAACGCTTCGAAGCACGCGAATTCCGACGGCTTTAGGTCCAGGATGCTGAAATCCCAGAATTAAAAGAAGATGGACAGATAGGAATGACTATTTTTCCGAAACACGTTTTTCGTAACGAAAAAAATTTTCTGGAAAGAGCTATGTGAAAAAATTAAATGAGAAAAGTGCGAAGTTGGTAAAGATAAGTTCACCAGGTTCAGGCAGTCTACTCACTACGGAAAAATTCTGGTGAGGATAAAAGTATGTTTCACGAAACATCGTTTAGCAAAATAACAAAATTTGCTGTAATGGCTAGTCCCTGTTGCGCGGCGTATTGTCATAAAAGTGTTGCTAGCCTAGTGCCGATGCCGACAGTCATACATATTATCGTAATTCTCAATGGTGGAATTCAGAATGTCGGCATTCAAAATGCCGACATGTCATGGTGTCGAAATTTCCTAATTTTCGATTTTTTAGAATGTGGAATTTTTAAAAGAGCGAAGCTTTTTGTATAGTATTAGTGTTTTTCTTTGGCCGGGATTTGTTTTTGTAAATTTCGACATTATGAACTTGCAAACTCTGGAATTCCGACATTATTATATTTTGAAATTATAAAATTTCTACATTTTGAAGGTTACCCTATAAAACTACTACGCTATAAAACAAACAACTTGCGATTTGTATGATCAAACTGATTTAACGCTCATTAAAAAATTATAACCCACTTTTCGCCTCGAAAATCGGGCGGATTGAAGCAGTGGACGTGTTCCTCGGGTTCCTCTAGGTCGCGCATGAACTCGGCGGTGGATTGGAGTCTATAAAATTTATATATTTGAATAGCATTAATACATTATTAAACATATTATTAAAAAATCAAACAAACGTTTAGAAAACTTAAACTCGATTTTAAACTCACCGGCAGTCGCAGGCCCACGGATTCCGGTGCAGCTTCAGGCGTTTCATCGCTTTGGCGCCCTGGGAATTTGCAGATTGCTACTTTATCGAATTTAATTTTTAGATCATTCAAACTATGTAAATTGACATTGTCTAAAACTAAAATGAAAATTTCATCAAAACGTTTACCTAAAAAATTGGTCAAAGATGTGTGTTTCGCAAAACTTTGCATTTCGCGAAAGGTCTAAACCGGTAATGGAACACTTTCTGTGCGGGGGCTAATTAGATCTGCTTTTATACATATTTATTTAGTACCCTGGGGCCGGGAGTTTATCATATTTATATTATTCAAACTCGGATTTACTAAGCCAATTTTTAAGGCCGAAAAGCCAAACCCCCCTGCCATCTGGCGGCAAAAAGTAGTGTTTCAAAAAAATTACAATTTACGCAAACGTGCTGCAGTTAATTCCTCCCATTTTGCGATTTTGAAATTAAAAAATGGCAGTTAGTACACTTCGATTTAATTTTCCCAACTAAATGACGGTCAACACTTTTATTTCACATGTTGTGATCTTAATTGTGTAAACTTCTCTTTCAAAACAAAAAAATCCAGCGCTAGATTCCCGGTGAAAAAACGTGTTTCGAAAGATATCCCCTTCGCGCAAAAAGATCACGCGGTAATTGGGCTTTGGCTGGCAAACAAACTAATTTAATAACTCGGTTAATCCATCATTTTCGATAATATTCGCAAAAAGAGATGCTTCGAAACAGCTCCAATTATTGCATAAATATAGTGCGCAAGTCCTGAATTGGTGTCTGCTGTAGGCGGCCAAAATATAGGAACTCGAATCACCGATTACCCGATTACAAAAAGGTGTTTCGAAGAATCTCCAACTTTAAGCAAAGGTCATTTTAGACATTCCGTAATAGCCGATGCTGCTTTTTCTATTAAACCAATTTGTATTATATTTAAAAAGCTCAGTTATCCCGTAGATTAATCGAAAAAGTCCTTCAATCTATAAAAATATGCAAAGCACTTACCTTAAACATGAGCGAGTGGAGGCTCTGCAAGCGGTTGTGGCTCAGGTCCATCGACTCGATCTCGGGCAGCATTTCCATCAGCTGAACGGAACCATTTAAATAAATATAAATAACTATAAAAATAAATATATGTTTTATTTGGTATGGTGATTAGATTGACTTGTGCGCAATTTATACTAACTATTTTTGAAACATCATTTTTGAAAACTGGAAATGCTGAAAACGATTTTTTACATTAATTTGCTCTTACATTTTATCATGCGAATTTTAGCAGTATCTACATCGATTTCCCTATTTAAAATGTTACAAATTGACTTAGTCAAATTTAGTATTCACACCTTGTATTGTGTTAATTAATATAGCATCGAAGCGATTTTCTTTCGAAGTTTTTGAACATTTTTTAAGCGGGATAAAAGTTACATTCTTTTTTTATACGATACATTCTTTTGAAGCATTGTTCCTCCATTTTTAGATTAATCCAAATTTTACCTGATCATCGACCTCCTCGAGCTTGTTGTGCTTCAACTCGAGAAATTTGAGCTTTGACAGCCGGGAGCTGAGAGCTGGCATGGACCGTAGACGGTTTCTTCCCAAAAAGACACGTCGAATTTGGGGGAGCTCATCGAGGAGGTTCTAAATTACAATTATTACAATATTTTACCGTATATTTATTTTATTTTTATTTGTATTTTCTTATTCCATTTAGTGTATTTCATTTTTACTCTTAAAAAATTTTACCATCCAGGAAAGGACTTTATTTTATCGTTCCGCCTTACGGTAAAAAGTACGCTCTTGTTTAATGTAATTTCTGTCCATTCCTCCAAGAATTCTGACAATTCGTGGATTCTCGTTCTCAAACATACGCGAAACATCTTTTTTTTCTGGGCCTATCAGACGGGATTTGCGTCGTTTTGACAATTCAGAAAGTTATGTCACCACCATGAGAGCTCGCAACAAATTGTTACAAAAAAAAACGCATAAATGGTGGCCTTTTGGTGCAACATTTTTTTTATACGGCGCTGTTTTTTTGATCTCTGACCCTTTTTCTACGGTCAATTTTGGATGCTGTTATAGTTTGGTAAAGTGACATCGCTCGTTCGAGAGAGCCTGAAATTCTGATAAGTTTTTGTGAATAGGTTGCTTGCCTCCCGCTTTGAAGTGCTTTTTTGATGTTCAATCGCTTGCAAAAAATCAAAACATGTATTTAGCAAAAAAATATGTTTCTTGGAATGACAAAAGAAGTCGTCATCGGATCTTAGCTAATACGGCCGTTTCCACGGTCACAAAATACCATTTAGTGCTTCGAGCCTCGAAATGAATTAATGCCATTTTTCCAAAGCTCATTTTTTTTATAAACTCATTTTGCTAAAAGTTATTTTTTTCTAAAATTCCTTTTTCTTAAGAATCATTTTCCTAAACCATCTATTATCGAAAAGGCATCAGTTTTTTGGTAATTAGCATGGCGAAATCGAAAATACCTTCTAATAAATTCATATATGCCTAGTATCGTCAAAGGAAGTAATTTAGTTGTGCGTTTAGCTTCGTTTAAGCTAATTGGAAGTGAAAAAGGAAAAGTTTCAAGAAAGGTTAAAAAAATGTGTTCGGTTTTCATTAATAATTATCACGGAAAATCACGTAATTTGGATCCGATAAAATTAACAAAAGGTTTTACAAATCCTTAAAAATTTGCCGGTAATTTATTATTAATCCGAAAACGCTGAGCAGTTTACTTACCTCCTCAATCTTATTGATCCGATTGTCGGCCAGGACAAGCGTTTCCAGTCCCCTTAGCCCGCCCAAATCTTTTCGCGACACGTGGCCCAGCAGATTTCCGCGTAGATTTAGTGTTTTTGTGGATGTCGATATGCCGGAGGGGATCTGAAAAATTAAATTTTTGTTGTAAAAAACTGAATAATTTCGATCCTGTGGGTTACGGAGATTACTCTGCATTGAAAAACAATGCTAGACCAAATTTGATGAAACCAATTTTTTCCGTCTTTTGGTAAGTGATTTTATTAAAGACAAAATCATACTATTTTAATGAGTATTTAATGAAAATTTTTTGTTTTTCATGAATCAGTGTTCTAGCTCGTAAAAAATATATGATTCAAGTTTATTCGCTCATGCACAAAATTTCATTTACCTAATTTTATTAGACCGAATATCCTAAATTTTCGCTAAGCAAATCTTTCAAAGCCTAGCTCTATTCATTGTAATCGCAAGTTTTAGCAAAAGTCAACGCCTGCAAGGACATAAATAGATGGATTTAGTGCGTGCCTTATTCGGATAAATTTCAAACACACTTTTTTCTAAAAATTATGAAGAATTTACGTGAATTGAAACTGGAGGAGATAGATTCCAAAAATGTCGATACCCAATATGAGAACCAATGCCGATTGTTTTTCAAAATTTTTTTGGTTTATGACGTTTTTCTGGAACCTATTTTTCCCAACATTTTTTGCGAAAATCAAAGAATTATTATCTCCTATTCAACCCCAAATATTTCCTGTAACAATTTACGGTAGCTGCCGTTCGGTATTTTTGCAGAATTGAATTTAATTAAACCTTTTAGTTTTAACTGAATATTCCAAATGGTTTTTACTCCATATTCGATCTTATTTCCCAAACTGTCCATATTCACGCTCGTAAACGATCCCCATTATCCCTAACAACTTTTCATATTTCTGAGTATTTTTGCAACATTTTTCATAACCAAATTCCAAATTTTGAATTCATGTTGTAAAGACCAAAGATCAATCCATTACCATGGAGAACCTTCTGGCAAACCATCTTTTTGTTGTAACATATTTTTGGAAGCAAAACGAATTTTTGACCAAACTTTTCTACATACCGTACTTGCGATAACTTACGCTAGCTACAACCCAGTATTTTTGTGATATAATTATTATAATTACACTATTCCTGTCTAATCAATTTACAGTTATAATCTACCCCCAGAAGCGGATCTGAGTTCCAAAATTGTCGTTTTCAGGAGAACCAAACCTATCCATCATAATGAAAATTTTTGAGTTTCATGATCTTTGCAACACATTTTTTTATAACAAATATTTCATTCTTGGCTTTGACACGTCTCTTCTCCTGCCATAATATTTCACCTGTAATAGCTTTCGATAGCTGCAGTCTACCGTATCCTCCGAGCATCGACATTCATGCGGACAATCGGCCGCTACCGTACCCCCGGCGGCCAAAAGAAATAGGCCCCAAATGAGGAGCATCGTCCTGAAACGATACCCATTTTTTCTGAATGATTTATATAAATATTGTTGAATAAATTCTAGCAGACATTTTGAGACGATAATTGGAAATCGATGAAACATTAATTTTTGATTAAGGAAAAAATGTATAAATGAAAAGAAAGGGAAAAAAGAAAAAAATGTAAAGGAGCATTACGAAGGTGACTGCATTCCCAAATCTTAAATATCCCATACCTTCTGAAGCATTGAAACATTTTTTCGTAAGCCTCGACCATTCATAATTACCTTTTTTTGATTGAAGTGAATCTTAGTAAACTTAGCAGCACATTTCTGTTTTTTTAATTATTATGTTTTAACAAAATAAACAATTTATCAATAGTTAGTAAATCCATAATTGTTACGCTATTTTTATAGCATTAATTTTCTGCATCACACTGCCACTTGTGATTTCGGCCATTTCCGGAAAATGGATGGAACACTGATTTTCGAAAATATAAACTCGAATTCAATTGAGGGGGAATTTTCTATAGATCAATCGAATGCATGTAAATACGAAAACATAACAGCACCATCAGATTTATCAAGGATTCACATTGGCAAAGCATTTTCACTTAAACAGGCCTAAAATTCCTAGAAGATAGTAGCAACTGAATCTTTAAAAATAAATTTTTCATGAAGATTGGTATTCAAATGCGATCTTCGACAATACCTTCGGCAAAAATCAAATTAAACTTCTTTAAAAAATGTTTCAAAAGTGTTTAAAAATTCAAACGCAAATGGAATCGGAATAACATTGTTAAAAAAACCCAGAGAAGACATTTTTGAGTTATAATTCGCCCAGTTAATGCAGAATGCACAGAGGCATACAAAAGTCGGACCGGGCATCTCCGGAAAGCGAAACATCTTTTTTGAAATCCAAGTGCTTTGCCAAACTGCCAAAAATGAAAAAAACAATTTGGCAACCAATTGTTTCAAAATTTCTTAAAAAGCGTTAGGTACAAGATTACGTGAAAAAAGTGGCCATTTTTCCTGATCACCTTCGGAAAGCGTCTACAGTACACCTAGTTCGGCAACACCCAGTCAAATTAGTGCAGCCATTCATCAGGGAGTGATAAGGGACAATTTTTGGGGGATTGGCGGGTGGTGTGGCCTCGGATGACCCTTTTCTGCTATTTGCACACACACAATTCATCAAGCCATTAACCCCCTCTTTGCCCTGCCTGCCCTCCAACCAAGCCGGTCGCTCGATTTTTGAGCTTTACAGGGGATGATGCCATGCTGAGGATGGATTTTTAAAGGGCCAGCCAAGGCAAAAGCCAGAAAAATAATGAGAGCCATAATCCCGAAAAGCGAAAATACCGACAAACAAAATGCTGAAATATCGACAATCAGAATTTGCGACAGAAAATCCCGACAGGCTTAATATCAAAATTCTGATAGGCATAACGCGACAGCCAAATGCCGACAGCCAAATCCTGAACGCTAAAATCCCGACAATCAAAGTTCTGACAACCAAAATGCCGACAATGACAATCCTGCCAGTAAAAATGCCGACTGCCACATTACCGATAGTTCAGATCCCGATGTAAATTAGCTGGTTAAAAGGAAGTGGCGCTAGGGTTAGCGACAAGGATTTGTCGAGATATTGCCCCGTCGGGATTCTGATAATCTGAGTCTCGAGCAACAAGGTTTTTTTTAGAAACCAGGAAGAAAACCGATAGAGAAAACTGATAAAATCGATAAAAGAAGAGGACGAAAAAATGGCCAAAATTTAGACAAGACAACCCAGTTGAAAAAAGATGTTTCGTCGCTTGGCCCCTATTTCGAGGTTTTTGAGAATTACAATAACACGACGCTTTCGCAGAATTGTTCCTTCAAACCTGTTTCTGAAAAACCCTAGAACTCGAAAATAATTAAATAAATACAGAAATAATAACAAAATAAATATATACTTAAATCTAAAATGTTGCAAATATAAATCAAAAAATCTAAAGAAATCTTTTGCCTATGGGGTATTGAGCCAATACTGGCAGTAGGCACAAACGAAAATCAAGGAGATAATGAAACATGCAATTTTTAAGCCCTTTTCAAAGCCAAAATTCTTGCAGAATGAAAGTCATTTCGTAGAAAATCCCGGTGGGGGGGGGGGGGGGCTTTGAGAGGCAGGGCAGCGATGGCAGCCAGCTGCGTGCAAAATTAGGCAGCCCCAAAAAAAGCGTGGAGTAGCCGCTGGGAGAGCCGGCTGTCATTTCGCTCAAGTGGCTACGCCCAGATGGGCAATTTTTACGGGATGAGGATGGCGATTTTGGGTTGTCGATGCCTTTAAAAAGATTTTTGAATCGAGGTATCCCTTTAAAGTCGCTCTTTAAACTTATTTCGCTCAAAATATAAAAAATATCCTAAAAATAATGTTTCAAAAACCCTTTTAAAAAGAGTGTGGTAAATAAAAAATATTCCCGCGGCTGCCATTTAAAATTTTAAAATCTGAAATCTTAAAAAATTATGTTTGACAAAACATGATGAAACAAAACCTTTATGTCGATTTAATCGGAAGTTGCTTGAACAATTACAAAATAATCTGGAATACGGCCCCTTTAAATCTATACTTTATTATCGTTGACGTAGGGTATCTTATCGAATACCGCCAGTAAAAAGAAGCAGATATCCTAAAAATTAGTGTTTCACTAAGGTTTATGTAGAAAAATATTCATTGCCATTCGAATGCAACGCTCTATATTTCAAATACCTGAATTTTTCTTACGCTACTTTATCGAATAAAAGAGAAAAGGTGAAACCCAAAAATAGTGTTTTTTTTAGTAATTAATCGTCAACATAATCTTTAAATTAATTCAGTACTTATCAGTCTCATTTTTTCTTCAGTGTTTTTACTAGTTGATTGCCATTTCATATCGTCTGGGAAATGCCAGATTTAGTCAATTTTCGGGTTGAGGTTTAAGGTTTCAAGAATGTTTCTTCTAGACCAAAGTCGTAGTGCCGTACTAAAATTATTCGTAATTAAATCCGAATTAAATTTGTTCAATTACAGATTAAAATCAGTAACGAGTTAAAGAAAGTAGAGAAAGATTATTTTCTGGTGGAAATTTGACTTTTCGAAAACAAATGTTTCAAGCATTTGCATTGTCGAATCAGCAAAACAGTTATCTAATAAAGTCTGACAATGATAAAAAAAAAACGAAAATAAAAAAGGGAACCCAAAAAAGCTCGAATTCCCGAATTTCGCCACGGCGCCTCGATAACGGGGAATCTCTCGCGCATCGTTCAGGGAAGCGCGCGAAATTTCTTTGAGAGAACATTTCTATCAACGATTATCTTTTGTGCTTTCTTTCTTTCTCTATCTCTCCCTCTATCTCTCTCCTCCTCTCTCTCTGTCTCACCTCTCTCTTTCTCTCTCTCCCTCTCTCGCCCTGATAATGGATAGATTTCAGTGAGTTTTGCTGCGCTAGAGATCGATCGACCTCCGCCGGGGGAAGTGATCCCCAAATTTGGGTTGCGAAAATTGCAAAAGAGTACAATAGCGTATTAAATATCATACTTATGGCTCACGGATATGGAAATTCGTTTTATTAGATTAAAAATTATATGTTTCAAATAAAAACGTTAAATTGGGTGTTCAGGCGTTTGAATTGTGCCATTTGATGGGAGTCATCATTAACTGCGGAAAACGATTATAAAAAAGAAAAAATAACTTAAGTTAAGTAATATAAACATTTAATTTTAAAAAAACGCGTTTTTTGCAAAAATGTTTTTCAAAGGGGTGGGGGAGTGCAGAAGTTTTTCCTTCTATAATGTTAGCATTAGTTGTTTGGTATTTACAAAATGTGTGTGTGTGTGTGTGTCTCTCTCTCTCTCTCGCTCTCTCTCTGTCTCTCTCTGCCTCTCTCACCCTCACTCTCTCTCACGCTCTCGCTCTCCCTATCTCCCTATCTCGCTCTCTCACTCCCTTTCTCTCTCTCTCTCTCTCTCTCTCTCTCTCTCTCTCTCTCTCTCTCTCCCCCTCTCTCCCTCTCTCTCTCTCTCTCTCTCTCTCTCTCTCTCTCTCTCTCTCTCTCTCTCCATCTTTAAAATCTAATTTAATCTATCTTGAAAAAGAAAACACTAAATTAGGATCGAAGAATTGGGTGCGAGGTCCGAAGAGCTTCGAGGCCCCCCCCCATCCTCGAGTCGAACACAATGCAATTTAGGCGCGAAATTTCGTGTGGCCCACCAGGAGGAGGAAGAAGCAGACAACGAGAAGCACGGATTCAAAAGTCTGAACCGCCCCAAAATTCGGAAATCTGGATTTTTGGAACCGCAGTAACACGATGTAATTGGTCCAGAAATTTGTAGTTGAAAGACTAGATTTTACGAAACATGCAAAAAATTATTTCCAAAAAATGTTTCAGACCACCTTGAGACATAGCCGTTAATTAGTTTCGTAGTTGGTGTACATGTGCGTGCCACGAAAACACCATTTCTAGTTTATAATTTGGCGGAAATTCAAAGTGTTTCAAATCGATAATACCATCATTGCGAAAGTTTGTAAGTAATTAGGAATCTAAACTCTGGAAAATAGTCAGAAACTGAATTTAAAAATTCCGGAAATGTAGCAATAAGTAAAACATCAAGAATAAACAGAAAAATAAATCCTCAAAAACCAAAAACAGGAAAAGCTAGAAAAAATAAAATTCTCCAGAAATAAAAGTGTTTCAGTAGGAGTCTAGGGCCCCGAGTTTGAGATGAGCAAGAAGAATTCGATTTTGGGCCTAGAGGGGGAGTGGCGTTCTGGAGGGGAACATTTTTTGGCGGCTTCTCCCCCCAGCCAAAAACGAGAAGCCAGGCTTTGGGCTGAGTGGAAAAATGACGGGTCCTAGGAACGGACTGACAACGTGCCCCCCGAGGGTATTTGGGAAGTGATGACAGCTGGGATTGGGTTCTCCAAACTTGATAAAACATTTTTTGCGTGGCAGCGACTTCCGGGTGAATTTACAGAAGACGATATGCTTTGGTTTGGGCTTAGGCTT